TTATTGTTGTAAAACTCAAGTTCGATACACTATTGTCCAATTATGAAAAATCAAGTTCGGTAAATTTGAATATTGTAAGATGGATGATCAATTACCACACATTATTGTTGTCCGGGTTAGTCACTTAAAGGGGTAATTCAGTCCTTTTAATATTGTAAGGACATTATTGTTCAAGTATTTCATAAACTGTCTCACATGACAAACGCATGCCCAATTAATGGCCATAAATGGATGGACGTTTGCTGGGGTAATCTGCAACAAATTTTAATAATTGAAGGGATTTCTTGCAGGTTTGTCGATAGTTTAAGAGGTTTATTGCATTTTACCGGTAAAAAAAAAATAGTCAAGTGATTATTATTAACAAAAAAGAACACACATTAACAAGACATCGGCTTACTGTATACATGGATGTGCTTACTGTATGCATGGATGAAAAAAATAGGGCTTAATGTGCTTACTATTTCAAGATATCTGCTTGTGCAATGAAGTTTGATAGTGATGTAAAAGAATACTCCCTTCCAAGCCTGCCAAAGACTTCCGAAAGTCTTCTTTCTACGTTTTTAATACACCTTGACAAGTCTACACAACACACACGTTAAGCTTCTCTCTCTCAGCTTTGGAACAGTCTCTTTGATTCTGATGATTAACATTGCTCGAATTCCAGGCGTTACCAAATACCAAGCTTACTGCCCTAACAGCGGACACATGTCCATTATAAGGACATAGCAAAGAGATTGTAAAGAGATAAGGTTAGCATTTGGCAATACGATAAGGTGACACGATTTTTTAAAGATAAGGCTTCCAAATTTGATTTGTATATTATTAATTTTTTATTTTTTAAAAATAAGTTGATGCATTTTAGAAATCTATATGTTCGTAAGAGTTTGCAATTTACAATGTATACGAGCCTTATATGAGCTTTGTGTTCACGAACACAAACGAGCTTAAAATGAGCTCATGTTCACGAGCTTATACGAGCCGAGTTCAACACTGTTCGGGCTCGGCTCGTTTAGTAAACGAGCCTAAAAATTGAGCTCGAGCTTGGCTCGTTTGGTTAACGAAGGAGTCTGAGCCGAGCCCTTAGCGAGCCGAATCTGAATTGTTCATAAACAGCTCGGTTCATTTTTAGTCCTACTGGAGACATATGTAGATGTACTATTGGAGCAGAACAAAGTTTCACATGATCCAATAAGTTTCCCCGAGTCCTCATAAGAGCCAAGTGGGTGTGTGAGTTTGTTGCTGCTAAGTTAAAAAATGAAATTAAAAAAAATTGACAAAGCATTAAAGATGGAAAGAAATTGATATATAAAGACTGAGAATTTTTTTATTTTTATTTTTATTTTTAGCGTAAACATAAACACCCATGATCACATGATGTCCTTAATGGGACTCAAACTGTAAAATCTCTTTACTAATTAAGTTTAAGGTATAGGAAAATGCATATATTGATTTGAGAACTTAGTTTTTATGTGGAATTAAAATAACATGGTCCAATGAGTTAATTGAAATCCATGCTTGCAGGGATTATGCTAGAAATAAATTATGTAATAAAATTTGTGTCCCACCATAATTTACCCACAATACACGCATCATTTAAATATTAAGCATACGATTCGAAAATAAGATCTAAAGAATTTATCTCTCAAATTCTTATCAACACCGCTATGCCTTTTATTTCAATTTGGATCCCTTAAATCTTTTCGGTTAAATTTCTATGAATATACATAAACCTGGTATGTCATGGGCGTAGTAGTCAGTCAATGGCTAATTAATATAAGGCTGCTTCTGCGAAAAAGAGATGATGGAGGAGGTCCTAATTTCCAAATCAAGTGGGTCTACATGTGGACTAAAGATACAAAGTGCTGCCAAAAAACTAGTATGTATGGTCTTCCTAATCTTTGTTGTTTTTGGTGGAAAATCTGCCACTGACTTTTCCAAGTCGTCTAAGTCTTCGTTCCATTGGCCCAGTAAAAGGGACCCACAACATTATTTTGCGATAATAATTTAATTTAATTATATTTGTCGCAAAAGACCGATTCTACCCTATGACGAAATAAATCTGTATCGGTTATATTTTTTGAGTGCAGCTTATTGAAATTATTTAAGTTGAATATTGTAAGATGGATGATCAATTGCCACCATTTTTTTTATTTTTTGGTGGGCACATTTTAAAGAGAAATTTGGTAGGGCTGGTAATGAAAAAGCAAGTTCGGTACATTATTGTCCAAGTATTTCATATAATGTCTAACATTATTGTTGTAAAACTCAAGTTCGATACACTATTGTCCAATTATGAAAAATCAAGTTCGGTAAATTTGAATATTGTAAGATGGATGATCAATTACCACACATTATTGTTGTCCGGGTTAGTCACTTAAAGGGGTAATTCAGTCCTTTTAATATTGTAAGGACATTATTGTTCAAGTATTTCATAAACTGTCTCACATGACAAACGCATGCCCAATTAATGGCCATAAATGGATGGACGTTTGCTGGGGTAATCTGCAACAAATTTTAATAATTGAAGGGTTTTCTTGCAGGTTTGTGGATAGTTTAAGAGGTTTATTGCATTTTACCGGTAAAAAAAAAATAGTCAAGTGATTATTATTAACAAAAAAGAACACACATTAACAAGACATCGGCTTACTGTATACATGGATGTGCTTACTGTATGCATGGATGAAAAAAATAGGGCTTAATGTGCTTACTATTTCAAGATATCTGCTTGTGCAATGAAGTTTGATAGTGATGTAAAAGAATACTCCCTTCCAAGCCTGCCAAAGACTTCCGAAAGTCTTCTTTCTACGTTTTTAATACACCTTGACAAGTCTACACAACACACACGTTAAGCTTCTCTCTCTCAGCTTTGGAACAGTCTCTTTGATTCTGATGATTAACATTGCTCGAATTCCAGGCGTTACCAAATACCAAGGTTACTGCCCTAACAGCGGACACATGTCCATTATAAGGACATAGCAAAGAGATTGTAAAGAGATAAGGTTAGCATTTGGCAATACGATAAGGTGACACGATTTTTTAAAGATAAGGCTTCCAAATTTGATTTGTATATTATTAATTTTTTATTTTTTAAAAATAAGTTGATGCATTTTAGAAATCTATATGTTCGTAAGAGTTTGCAATTTACAATGTATACGAGCCTTATATGAGCTTTGTGTTCACGAACACAAACGAGCTTAAAATGAGCTCATGTTCACGAGCTTATACGAGCCGAGTTCAACACTGTTCGGGCTCGGCTCGTTAGTAAACGAGCCTAAAAATTGAGCTCGAGCTTGGCTCGTTTGGTTAACGAAGGAGTCTGAGCCGAGCCCTTAGCGAGCCGAATCTGAATTGTTCATAAACAGCTCGGTTCATTTTTAGTCCTACTGGAGACATATGTAGATGTACTATTGGAGCAGAACAAAGTTTCACATGATCCAATAAGTTTCCCCGAGTCCTCATAAGAGCCAAGTGGGTGTGTGAGTTTGTTGCTGCTAAGTTAAAAAATGAAATTAAAAAAAATTGACAAAGCATTAAAGATGGAAAGAAATTGATATATAAAGACTGAGAATTTTTTTATTTTTATTTTTATTTTTAGCGTAAACATAAACACCCATGATCACATGATGTCCTTAATGGGACTCAAACTGTAAAATCTCTTTACTAATTAAGTTTAAGGTATAGGAAAATGCATATATTGATTTGAGAACTTAGTTTTTATGTGGAATTAAAATAACATGGTCCAATGAGTTAATTGAAATCCATGCTTGCAGGGATTATGCTAGAAATAAATTATGTAATAAAATTTGTGTCCCACCATAATTTACCCACAATACACGCATCATTTAAATATTAAGCATACGATTCGAAAATAAGATCTAAAGAATTTATCTCTCAAATTCTTATCAACACCGCTATGCCTTTTATTTCAATTTGGATCCCTTAAATCTTTTCGGTTAAATTTCTATGAATATACATAAACCTGGTATGTCATGGGCGTAGTAGTCAGTAAATGGCTAATTAATATAAGGCTGCTTCTGCGAAAAAGAGACGATCGAGGAGGTCCTAGTTTCCAAATCAAGTGGGTCTACATGTGGACTAAAGATACAAAGTGCTGCCAAAAAACTAGTATGTATGGTCTTCCTAATCTTTGTTGTTTTTGGTGGAAAATCTGCCACTGACTTTTCCAAGTCGTCTAAGTCTTCGTTCCATTGGCCCAGTAAAAGGGACCCACAACATTATTTTGCGATAATAATTTAATTTAATTATATTTGTCGCAAAAGACCGATTCTACCCTATGACGAAATAAATCTGTATCGGTTATATTTTTTGAGTGCAGCTTATTGAAATTATTTAAGTTGAATATTGTAAGATGGATGATCAATTGCCACCATTTTTTTTATTTTTTGGTGGGCACATTTTAAAGAGAAATTTGGTAGGGCTGGTAATGAAAAAGCAAGTTCGGTACATTATTGTCCAAGTATTTCATATAATGTCTCACATTATTGTTGTAAAACTCAAGTTCGATACACTATTGTCCAATTATGAAAAATCAAGTTCGGTAAATTTGAATATTGTAAGATGGATGATCAATTACCACACATTATTGTTGTCCGGGTTAGTCACTTAAAGGGGTAATTCAGTCCTTTTAATATTGTAAGGACATTATTGTTCAAGTATTTCATAAACTGTCTCACATGACAAACGCATGCCCAATTAATGGCCATAAATGGATGGACGTTTGCTGGGGTAATCTGCAACAAATTTTAATAATTGAAGGAATTTCTTGCAGGTTTGTCGATAGTTTAAGAGGTTTATTGCATTTTACCGGTAAAAAAAAAATAGTCAAGTGATTATTATTAACAAAAAAGAACACACATTAACAAGACATCGGCTTACTGTATACATGGATGTGCTTACTGTATGCTTGGATGAAAAAAATAGGGCTTAATGTGCTTACTATTTCAAGATATCTGCTTGTGCAATGAAGTTTGATAGTGATGTAAAAGAATACTCCCTTCCAAGCCTGCCAAAGACTTCCGAAAGTCTTCTCTCTACTTTTTAATACACCTTGACAAGGCTACACAACACACACGTTAAGCTTCTCTCTCTCAGCTTTGGAACAGTCTCTTTGATTCTGCCCAGAGCACCCAAAAAACCATGTACCTTTTTCATCTTAGAATCATTATCAGTGTTTATCTCGTCCACCATCTGTTATTCACAGGCGGCACCGGTGATTCGCATGTCCACTATTACTCGGTAGATGACATCGCCATTAACTGTGGCTCCGCTGGTAGTTCATCTGGTTTTGATGGCCGGGAATGGATCGGAGATATAGGATCAACATTTACTTCCCCAAAAGAAGCAAAACCCATATCAATAAGTTCATCAACAACAGTCCACCAATCACCTTTTGCCGATTCTATTCCCTACATGACCGCCCGGATCTCTCGTGCTCAGTTCACCTATACATTTCGACTCAGCCCAGGTCAAAAATTCATTCGCCTACACTTCTATCCAGCTTCATACACTGGTTTTGCAAGATCCAAGGCACTTTTTCATGTTAAAGCAGGTCCTTTCACCCTCCTCAACAACTTCAGCCCTTCCCTTACTGCTGATGCTTTCGGTGTAAGTTATTTTGCCAAAGAGTTTTGTGTCAACTTAGAAGAAAATCAAGTTTTCAACATAACCATTTCTCCGTCTAAAAGCACTAGTTCTTCAAATGATGATGATGTTTATGCTTTTATCAACGGAATTGAGATCGTCTCCATGCCTACCGGTCTTTATTACACTCCCGATGGTCATTTGGGTGCATATATGGTTGGCAACAAGTTTCGATTCGGTATCGATAACGGGACTGCGTTAGAGATGGTTTACCGCTTAAATGTCGGAGGGAGATCCATTTTGTCGGTAGAAGATTTGGGCATGTTCCGTATGTGGTATGAAGACAAGAAATACTTGCTACAATCAAGTCTTTTACGAGTCACTACAAGCAAGATGATCACATACACAAGCATACCCACATATATAGCACCATCTAAAGTTTATCAAACAGCTTGGTCAGTAAATTCGAACCAACAAACAAACCAAGCTTACAATTTCACATGGAAACTACCGGTCGATTTGGGATTCAGATATCTGGTTAGGCTCCATTTTTGTGAGCTTGAACCCATGATCACTCATGGCAGTCAAAAACAGTTTGATCTGCTAATGAACAATAAGGTCGTTGAGAATGATGCAAATGCTATCAATTGGAGTGGTGGAAATGGGGTTGCAATATACAGGGACTATGCGGTCGTGATGGAAGGAGACCGGATGGAGAGCCAGCGTGATCTAATCATAACGTTGCAGCTCAAGTATGTGTCAAGCACTAAAAGAATTGAGGCGACCCTAAAAGGTATTGAGATCTTTAAGTTGACTAACCCGGACAACAATCTCGCCAGCAGTGCGAATAATGTTTCCACGACACATGCTTCGATACCTAGAATCCCAAAACTCCGAAGATTGGTTTTGGCTTTTGGCAGTATAAATGTGATTGGAACAGGTGCAATTCTCATACTCACTCTATTGAATTTCATTGTTTACCATTTAAGTCTTTCAGAATCGAAGTCTAGCAAAATTAACAACTCATCATCATTGGATGAGAAAGAGTTGCACCGACGGTTCTCACTTGTTGAGATCCAGTTTGCCACCAACAACTTTGATGATGGACTAATCATCGGTAAAGGTGGATTTGGTAATGTGTACCAAGGGATGATAGATAGAACAAGATGTGTTGCCATAAAGCGGTTGAATCCGCAATCCAAACAAGGGGCTCATGAGTTTTGGGCTGAGATCAACGTCCTTTCCGAGCTTCGGCACAATCATCTCGTCTCTCTAATTGGCTACTGTGATGATTGTCGAGAGATGATCCTGGTTTATGAGTACATGACCCATGGGACCCTTGCTGACCATCTCCACAAAGCTAGTAGAAATGGTAGTGGTGACTCTCCTCTTTCCTGGGAGCAACGACTCAACATCTGTATCGGTGCTGCACGTGGGTTGGACTTTCTGCATACGAGTAGCGGTGGCCACCATGGAATCATACACCGTGATGTGAAGAGCTCAAATATTTTGTTGGATGAAAATTGGGTAGCTAAGATTTCTGATTTTGGGTTGTCAAAAATGGACACTGCGAATGCATCGCGCACCCACATTAGCACCAACGTAAAAGGCACATTTGGGTATTTGGATCCAAAGTATTTCATGACTCGAAGACTGACTAAGAAATCAGACGTATATGCGTTTGGTGTGGTACTGTTCGAAGTGTTGTGTGGGAGGAGGGCTGTGGATTTAACACTTGCGGATGAGCAGCATAGTCTAGCCATATGGGCCCCAAAATGTATCCGAAAAGGAACAATTGATCAGGTCGTTGATCCCAGTGTGAAGGAGCAAATCTCGGGTCGTTGTTTACGAAGGTTTGTTGAAATTGCCAACAAATGCTTGCATGATCAACCAAATGAACGACCTACAATGGCTGAAATAGTGGCGAGACTTGATTTAATTATATTGGAGTTGCATAGGAGGGATAACTCTTACACAGAGCAAGAGATTATCGATGTTGGTGGGACTTGCAACGAGCATGTTGAAGAGAGTATTTCATCGGAGGACTCTTCTTTAACATCTAGGCATTACAGTCTACCGCCAAAACGGGGCGTGGTCAGCTTAAGAATACTGAATTCCACAAACAAAAGGATTACTTTCACGGACCATGGTCAGGGTGGCGGTTTTGGGACTTGCTTTGGCATAGAAGACCATTTTCAGTGCCAAAACGGACCATGGTCAGGGTGGCGATTTTGGGACTCGCTTTGGCATAGAAGACGACCTTCACTGCCAAAAGTAAATTGTCATCGCTTCTCACTGGCAAAGATTGAAGCCGCCACGAACAACTTCAGTGATTGCTTCCTAATCGGAAAGGGTGGTTTTAGGACTGTTTATGTGGGTTCCATCCAAGACTTGAAGAAGGTTGCTATCAGTCGATGGAATAAGAAAATAAATGCAGCGTATGATAGTTTTTGCAGGGAGTTGGAGGTGCAGTCCCAACTTCGATGCATCAACATCGTGCCCTTGGTTGGGTACTGCTATGATGGGGACGAGATGATCCTAGTGCACGAATACATGGTAAATGGGAGCCTTTCCGATCATCTTCACAATACCAGCAATAATAATCAATGTCTCTCATGGAAGCAGAGGCTCCAAATCTGCATCGGTGTGGCACAAGGACTGAACTACCTTCACAGATGTGTGGAGCAGACAATTGTCCATCTTGACATTAAGCCGTCCAACATTTTCTTGGATCAAAACTGGGTTGCAAAGATTTCAGATTTCGAGTTAAGCAAGTTGGCTCCCAAGGGCGGCTCATTATCCACCTCTCGAATTTGTGGTACATATGGCTATATGGCTCCAGAGTATGCGATGAGAGGACAAGTGTCCGGAAAATCTGATGTTTTCAGTTTTGGCATCATGGTGCTCGAAGTTTTGTCGGGAAGGAAAGTAAATTCTCATACAGATTCTACAGATTTTTGGCAGGATGAGAGGACTCCTCGAAGGAGGACTCTGAGGGAGTGCATAAAAGCAGGGTCATTTGAGCAGATCATTGATCCAAATCTCATTGGGAATACAATATCGCCTCTTTGCTTGAGCGTGTTTGTGAAGATTGCAAGGAAATGCATATCTGAGAGAGAAACTGAACGCCCTCAAATGAATGATGTTGTGCACATACTCAAGCATGCTCTGAAACTGCAGGAAATTGCTGATGGTGCATTGTTTAATGAGGTAATGAATTGCTCTCTCTATTTTCTACCTAAACAATGCACTTCTGTCTTTTCACTTGTAAGCAAATGTTATTCAAATCGAAATCTGATTGGGAGATGGCTTATAATTTAATACCAAATTTTATGGGTTTTTTTTTTTTTTTTTTTCAAATATATATATGTATCTCCTTCAACTACATGCAACATTAGCAATTTACATAATTTTTAAGTATTCTATTAAGTATTTTTCACTCATCTCCGCAGGAAAGAGTAGAAGGAACCAACATTAATGCATATGAGCTTTCTGACTCCATTAATCATTCTTCATCACATCTGCAAGACACCGACTGGATTACTCCTGACGCACCAGATTTGCAAAACATTGAGCTCTCTGGCCCACGCTAAATACTTTATGTTCTTGTGAAACTTGATAAAGGTTGGATTCCATTATTTAATATATATATATATATATATATATATATATATATATAGAGAGAGAGAGAGAGAGAGAGAGAGAGAGAATTCTAAAATACATATATATATATATATATATATATATATATATGCCATCAGCAAAAGTTTGTACCTGTACACTATTCTAGTGTAACAGAGCTCTGAAGAACTTCGATGTTAATTTCTTCAAGAGAAGCACATGAGTCGTTGAGTCTCTTACATTTTACACTAGATTAGAAGCAGATGTTTCTTCAAGAGAAGCACAATATTTCTGATTTTAAAGCATATGAAACTGTCTAGACATTTTTGGCACATCCAAATTGGCAATACTCGAGCATGCTCTGAAACTGCAGGAAATTGCTGATGGTGCATTGTTTAATGAGGTAACCAATTGCTCGCTCTCTCTGTATTTTCTACCTAAACAATGCACTTTTGTATCCTAAACATACTTAAACGACTTCCATTATTAGTATCAAACCAATAACAATTCATAATCTTCTATGATACCTGGGCTCCCGGGGGAGATTTAAGAAAAATTACCAACTTGACCCTTAGCCCAAGTCTCATACTACTCTCCTCAATACATAATCTTACGAAAAAATTACCGCCTGCCTGCCATTTACTCATTGTTATGTTGATTAAAGATTAGTAAATTAAAGAGAAGCTCGAAATTATGCTTTTTGTCGGTGATTATATCAAATCTATATAGGTCAAATGAGAACACCAATGTATTTTCTTAATTCACATCCATCAAACATTAGGCATGAAGAAAAAACTCAACAATTACACAATCCATATTCTATTTCTTAGGCTATGGTTTGGTTATTACTTCTTAGTAAGTAAAGGCAATGCTCACCCATATAATCAGAACAAGAAATTTTACAGTCATCCAAGCAGGGCTACATATATAGCCAAACATTGGACACCTTTTAAAAACTGGACTCTAAACTGTTGAAATCTGTCGACAACATTCTATAGTATGACAAATATCCTCCCTAGTGGAATAGTAGTTCCTGTCCCGTCGGGATGCACATTACATAAAGTAGAACCACTTTACCTGCAAAGTTGCAGTCAGCAAAGAATAGATGAATGCAAAGCTCAACCACCATGCTGAGTCAAACTTGGAGCATAACCAAGAGGACTGAATTTCAGATTCCAAAACCAGTAATTCACTATTGTGGACCGATCAGTTTTGAGCACAATAAGATGATGAGACAAAAGGCTACAGGGAATTAACAATATTATCATGTACTATAGTTGTTAAAGGCTCAAGGCGCACAAAAGCGCAAATGCCTCCTGGAGCTCGCCGCGCGCCCGACTGAAGTAAGGCGCACGTTGAAAAAAAACAAAACAAAACCCACCCAATAAAGTATGAAGATGCAATAGTATATATAAAGATGCAATAATGTTTGGATGCTGCATTAATTGATAGAAAATTTGAGTTCATCTTGCAAAAATCACACGGATGAGCTATTATTACTTTTAAGTCAAATCAAATTTAATTTTCATTAAGCACAAATAAAACGTTTTTGCAAGCTGCAAGCACCATGTTTGGATGCATTAAATAGAAATTATGAATTTATCTTGCAAAAACCACAAGGATCAAGGATGTGCTATATTTTCAAATCAAATCAATCTAATTTTCTATAAGCACCATGATTGATTCTATTTTTCAAATCATTTTTAGGCAAGTGATTGATTGATTAGGTATATCTCTATTATCTGTTTTAACAAGGAGTAAACAAAATCAATCAGGCGCATCATCAAACACATGCAAGGCAGTAAGGCACTAATCTACAGAAACAACAACTAAGCCACAAAAACCTCAAAAAAAACAGAGGACCAACATCATCTAGATTCTAGACAAGCATAAAAATAAATAAAAAAATCTGCCAAAGGCAAAAGGAAAGAACTCAAAGAACTGAAAGAAGAGAGAGCCGAGAGAGGAAGAAGAAGAAGAAGAGAAAAAAAAAATCTGACATTCTGACGAGAGATTCAGAGAGAAGAGAGAAAAGAGAGAAGAAGAGAGAGGAGGAGGAGAGAAGAAGAAGAGAAGGAGAGAGAGAAGGAGAACTTACCGGCAGATCCGAGAGGACCGAGACTGAGAGATCCGGCAGATCCGAGAGCTTCGCAGATATCGCCTTCGCTGCCGGCAGATCTGTCTCTTCTTTCCACTTTTGTTTTTGGTTTTCTTTTTATTTTTTTGTTTTGTAACTTGTAAGTTTTGTAATAAACAAATAAAAAGTAATAAACAAAAAATAAATATTAATAAACAATACAAAACCAAAAAAATAACAAAACAATTAAAAAAATTCCCTTTTTCAAGCAGGCGCGCCTTTTGTGCACCTGTTATACAAAGGCGGCCGCCCTATTGAACCCCAGTGCCTTAAGCCATTGGAGGCGACATGGTGGCGCCTGGAGGCGGCTTGTGCCTCCGGCGCCTTTAACAACTATGTCATGTACTGCGATTTTCCTGAGAAATGTGTCCAATTTTTTGTGCAAATCACTCATTCAAAAGATAACTAAATCATTCCTAATAAAACAAATGAATTGCTCATTTCAGTAAGGTAGACAAGTCACGGTTTAAGTCAGCACATTTTTCATGCAAACTCATTGATGTTTAAAAACTAAATGAACAAAAAAAATAAATAAATAAATAAATAAAAATAAAAAAAATAAAAAACCTATACACACTTATGCAACTGTGATATTTGTTTCACTCAAAACACACACAATATCAATATCATTTGCTGCAACCAATCAATCATAAACAAAAAAGTGACGCAATCAATCAATCATTGCTTCCAAATAATTCCTAATGAATGTCATTCTCATTTCATGGCCTTAAATTATCCCTTAATCAAGTAAACACAAAAGAAAGGTAACAGAGATTATATTTAAGAAACCTGGACAAAAGCATGCATGCCCGGACTGCAGAGAAACTGTGCCACATATATCCCACGTATATCAAGTAGTAAGTACGCTTGGGATATAAACTGAGTTCGCTGAAAGGAACTGTAATGTCTCCATAATGACTGAAGAAAATGAATGAATATGCTCATGGTTGTGCATTCATTTTTATCTTCTTTCCTTCCTTCTCTTTGTAGTTCATAAATACCAAACTCAGGCTGCTGAAGAGATGGGGAAAAGCATTATACAATGTAGTCATTGTAAGGAATGAATTACCCTATTTTTTATATGTACAAAGACTTGGAAAGAGACAGACATTGACAGCAACCAGACTTAAAAGGAGCAAATTAGGTTTTAGTGACTAAAATTATAAAAAATTGTGTTACATTGACCTTAAACTAAAATATATATATATATATATATATATATATATATATATATGTATATATATATATATATATATATGTATATGTATATGTAAACAGCAACAAGACTTAAAGGGGAGAGAGGTAGAAAAAAGTGCTTTAATTAGAGTAACCAGATATGATAGAAATGTGCTTTTGGAGTGTAGTGTGATTGATGTACACAAAACCAATTGAATGAGAAATATATATAGGAAATTGTGCTTTAAAGTGTAGCATGTTTTATGGTATCACAATGGTGAAAAAAAAGGAAGTGTCTTAAAGGTTCACAATCCCAATTCTCACTGAGAGGATAAAAAATGGAGACAATTAAATATAGACCATCTCTAACTCAGGAATTAATTTAAGACATAAAAATCCAACACTTCAATTAACAAACAAGAAAGAAGTGTTTTAAAGGTTCACAACCCCAAATCTTACTTTCCAAAGCAACCAACATCACATAAGGAAATATAAAACACCACACACTAGAAAATAAACAATCTCATGGGACACAATGGAAGTGTTAATACAAGTGAAATTAATTTCCTTTCTATCAACAGTTTAATATACAACTGAGATACCTAAATTGCAGAACACATAGATAGATGGATGGATATATAAAAATGTTATCATTTGTCATTGAATTAGATCTAGCAATTGTCAGACAGCCTTAGACCCGCCATTTCTTAGACAAAGAAAAGATGGATCGAAAGCAGCACTACAACATTTCTTTAACAATACATATACATATGCACGCACACACATACCGATAGATACATACGTGCATATACAGACACACAGCAAGACAGGAGTTTTAGTTTATATTCCCATTTCTTCTTTTTAACCGTCTTTCTAAAAATCGAATGCATTGAAAGATGCACCAACGATATTAAAAACAAGAGGTTAACATCCAAAACACATTAGGCCTCATAAAGTGACAAAGTTCAACGGCAGCCAAAAAGCAAAATTAATGCCAGTGGGCCTGTTAGAACAAAATTTAACCACCATGCATATTTTCTGTGATTGTCAAAAGAAAAAAAAAAAAAAAAAAAAAAAAAGTATATAAGAGGAAGAACATAGATTGCGAGAGATAACCAACCTACAAAATAAACAACTGCCTGAAGGATTAAAGGATTAAATGTACGTAATCTTATCACAGGTAAACAAAGCTAAAACAGAGCAAAACCAGAGGAGCTACATCTGGTTATAAAGCAAAATATCTTAAAAGTCATTCCTCAAGATAATAAATACCCACCAATAAACACATCCTAGACTTACCAATAATCATACAAGATCAATTCAAACAGGTAAAAAATAACAATAACATTAATAATAATCTGCTTCATGAGCATTGGTGGTAATTGGGTAGAAATTATTATACAAACCATACATATGTATATATTTTAGGGAAAATAGTACTTGTGTTAAAATTCAGCTGTCATATGATAGAAATAATTAATGGTCAATCCAGCTCATGCTCATAAGATTAAAATGTATACAAAGTATATTCTGAATGGGGTTTTAATCATTGAAATCATTTCCATCTAACAACTCTCAAACAAGATTTTCGAAAAAGCAAACGTTTATAAGCATCTTTATATAGAGTCAGCAGAAGCCCAAAATTAATATCTAAAAACACATATTATAATATACAAAAATAAACACCCACATATCTCTATATATAAGTGTGTGTGTGTAGAGAGAGAGATTAGAAACTGCTACCAAAACAGAAGAGAGAACAGGGGCAAAGAATCGGAAAATGAAATAACTGCAGTCTTCTGAGTTCCAGAGGACGAAATCTGGATACCACCAACGAATGTGAATGTGATTTTGAATGATATCAAAAGGGTTAAGAGTTAGATAGAGAGAACATATATATATATATACACACACAGACATATACAAGTATATCGACCTTATACCTTCAAGTTTTCTTCTAGGGTTCCACAGTGGCGAGGAAGAGTGTTCGAGGTGTTAAGAGAGGAAGATGCGAGGTGAGGTCATCTGGTCTGAGGTGGAGTCAGAGGTCGACGATTCAATTCAATCAGGTTATACGGCTAAGTTATTTTTGTTATGTTTTGATTAAAAAATAATAATAATAAATTACTTAAGTTTTGGGTTAACCAAACACCAAAAAATAAAAATAAAAAATATTTTCTAAAAAATATTTTACTTGCAAACAAACGGAGCCTCAAATCCAAATCTAATGGGGAGATGCTTATAATACCATTTGGTGAACTGGGATAAGATGTGCTCCCCGCTTCACAAGGGGGGCTTGGGCATTCAGAAATTGAATTTGTTCTACAATGCTTTGTTGGGCAAATGGCTTTGGAGATTTGGAGGGGAGAGGCCTCGCCTTTGGAGGAGGGTCATTGCTTGTCGACATGGGGAGGGCGATGGTGGGTGACTGTCTAGGGAAGGGAGAGGTCCAGCGGGGATGGGCACTTGGACGTGTGTCCGGAAGGGGTGGGTTGAGGTTTCCAAACGTATCCGATTCAGAGTTCGGGCGCGAGCCACATCAGGTTTTGGGAGGATTGCTGGTGTGGGGACTTAGCTTTGTCTCGTAGGTTTCCTCGGTTATTCAGGATCTCTTCAAGAAGACATGCTTTGGTTGCTGACAATTATCTGCTTGATAGCGAAAGGTTGACTTGGGAGGTGCATTTTCATAGATAGTTTCATGATTGGGAGCTGAGGGAGGTTGCAGAGTTCTTAGCCTTGCTCTATAGCCAGGTGGTGGAGGGGGCGGGAATGGATGAGATGGTGTTGGAGGTTACTCCAAGAGGGGTGTTTTTTTTTTTTCCCAATAAGTAAGAGTTTTATAGAAAGCGTTCAAAAGGGGAACGCGTCCCCAATACAAAAACATAAATAAAAAATAAAAATAAAAAAGGAGCGCTAAGACCCCAATGTAGCCAAGAAATCTATCATGGCCTCAGGAGCACAACAATGTCTACCCGAGCCCCAAAAGCATAAAGAGCTAATAAAGGAAAACTTGAGAGCACCAATTGAAGATTCCTCACCCTCAAAGGTTCTTCTATTACGCTCCCTCCACAAACACCACCAAAGACACAAAGGTGCCATCTTCCAAGGACCCCTGGCATGAGAACCCACACAACTCCCTTTCCAAGCCTCCATCAAACCTTTCGTGGATCCAGGCATGACCCAAGTAACCCCAAAAAGTCCCAAAAGAAGAATCCAACAGTCAAAAGCCACTGGACAATGCAACAGAAGATGATTCACTGACTCGCCATTACGCTTACACATGTAGCACCGGTTGACAATGATTAACTTTCTCCTCCTCAAATTGTCAATCGTCAAAATCTTACCCCACACCGCAGTCCACGTAAAGAATGCCACTTTAAGCGGCACATTAGATTTCCACACCGTCTTCCACAGAAACCCCCCAGTTGTACCAGAAAGACAACCAAAAAAAGATCTCACGCAAAACGTGCCCCGAGAAGAAGGAATCTAAACCAAAGCATCCCTTCCTTCACCACGAATCACCTAACGGTACAAGAGTTCCAGAAAACTGTACACCTCTACCAGCTCCCAGTCCTGGACAGATCTGCGAAAACAAACTTCCCAGATTAACCTTCTGTTATCAAGCCTATAACAGTCAGTAGCCTGTCTATCCACAGCAATCTGAAACAGTCTCGGAAACAAACGAGCAAGAGTATGATCAACACACCACCAACCCTCCCAAAAACTAATCTCCCTTCCATCCTGAACTCTAAATCTAATATGTTTAGAAAATTCATTCCATCCTTTCCGAATAAATTTCCAAACCCCCACCCCTCCAAGAATCAAAACCAAACATGAAACCCACCCCTTGGCCTCTTCCCCAAAACAACCAACCAAAACTCTCCTCCATAACCTATGCCGCTCCACTCCAAACCTCCACAACCACTTCCCTAGCAAAGCCCTATTGAAAGGGCCAATTCTCCTAATACCTAGGCCCCTAGACTGAATAGGCTTACACACCTGCTCCCACCTGACGAGGTGAAATTTAAACTCCTATCCAGATCCTCCCCACAGAAAGTTCGTCTGAAGTCTCTCAATTGAATCAGCAACCGAGGACGGAATCTGGAACAGTGTAAGATAATAAGTAGGGATATTCGATAAAGTGCTCTTCAACAGAGTAATCCTCCCACCTTTCGAAAGATACTGCTTCTTCCACCCTGGAAGCCTCCTCTCCACCCTATCAACCACTGGATTCCAAACACCCACTGTCCTAGAAGAGACCCCCAACGGCATGCCCAAATAGGAAATCGGAAGAGAACATACCCCACAACCAAGAACCGAAGCCAACCTATCCATATTTGGTACCTTCCCCACTAGAATCAAAGCACTCTTCCCCACATTAACTTTCAAACCCGAAACTGCTTGAAAGCAAATCAACACCGCTCTCAAGTAACATAGCTGGGACTCCACCGCCTCGCAGAAAACCAGAGTATCATCCGCAAAAAGCAAATGAGAAATAACCAACCCTTGACCCTCCCTACCCCACCCTGAAACCCTTAATGAAACCCAACTCCACGGCCCTCCCCATCAACCTACTGAGAGCCTCCATCACAATAATGAACAAGAACGGGGACAATGGATCCCCCTGTCTCAATCCCCTTGAGCTGCTGAAAAAACTGGTCGGAGACCCATTCACCAAAACTAAGAATCTCGCTGAAGAAATACAAAACTCAATCCATCTCCTCCATCTCAGCCCAAAGCCCAATCTCTCCGTCATATAAAGAAGGAAACTTCAACTCACATGATCATAAGCTTTTTCCTTATCGAACTTACACAAAACCCCCGGAATACCACTCCTCAACCTAGCATCCACACACTCACTAGCAATGAGTATTGAGTCTAGGATCTGGCGTCCACCTATGAAAGCATTATGCATCTCCGAGATAACATCATCCAAAACGTCTCTCAATCTCAAAGCAAGAACTTTAGCTATCAATTTGTAAATGCAACCCAACAAACTAATAGGTCTAAAGTCCTTCACATCAGATGCACTCCCTTTCTTCCGAATAAGAGCAATAAAAGAAGCATTCAGGGATTTCTCAAACCTCCCCTGCATATAGAAAGCATGGAATGTGCCCATCACATCACCCCTAACCACATCCCAACTCTCCAAAAGGAAACGCATTGTAAAACCATCCGGGCTTGGAGCTTTATCTCCATTACAGGTCCTTAACGCCTTCAACACTTCTTCTTCGGAAAACGGTATCTCCAACCCCTCTCTAGAGGTAACAGAAATCGAATCAAACTCAAGGCCATCCAAACGAGGCCTCCACACACCCGGCTCAGAGAACAAGTCCTGGTAAAAACCAGCAATCCCTCTATGTACATCCTCCTCCCTAACCAGAAACTCCCCATTAACAGAAATCCTCCCAATATGATTACTGCTCCTATTGGCATTAGCAAGTCGATGAAAAAAGTTGGTATTTTTGTCACCCTCCTTAAGCCATAAAGCCCTAGATTTCTGTCTCCATGAAATATCTTCCGAATAGGCGATCTCAGCAAGCTCTGCTTGGCACACAGCCCTCCTATACCTCTCTGACCCTCATCAAGACCACTCATACCTTCCCTCCAATCAATGTCTGCCAAAGCTCTGCCTTTCCTCCATTCCAAGTTCCCATACACCTCCTTATTCCACTTTTTAAGCTCCAGCTTTAACGCCCTAAGCTTCCTAGCAAGGATAAAACTTTGATTACCTGTCACAAAGCACCCCTCCCACCAAGATCTCACACATTCCTGAAAATTCTCCACCCTAAGCCACATATTCTCAAATCAAAACGGGGTAATCCTCGACCTCAAACCACCACAGTTTAACACTAGGGATATGATCTGACGTCAATCTAGCCAAAGCTACCTGAACCACATCCGGGAACTTCTCCTCCCAAGAGGGGTGTTTGAGGTTAGAGCTTTTTTATCACAGCCTTTCAGAGATCCTAGGTCTACCCCTTTCCGTGGAAGAAATTTTGGAAGTCAAAAGCCCCATTGAAGGTGGCATTCTTTAAGTGGGGAGCCGCTTACGGAAGTATTCTTACCCTTGACAATCTCAGGAGGAGACAACAGATTGTGGTTAACTGGTGTTGTATGTGTAAGAAGATGGAGGAGTCCGTGAATCATCTTCTTCTGCACTGCCCAGTGGCTAGAGACGTTTGGGCTATGTTTTTTATTGTGTTTAGCATGTCTTGGCCCTCTTGGGTGTTCCCAAGATCCACAGTTGAGTTGATTGAGGCTTGGAGAGGGTGTCTAGGGAAGAGCCAAGCCAGGGATGTTTGGAGGGCCACTCCCCTTTGTTTATGGTGGGGCTTGTGGTGTGAGAGAAATAGGAGATCCTTCAAGGGTGAGGAGACACCTGTTTGGTCTCTCAAATACAAGATATTGTATTCTTTATTTTTTTTGGGTTAATGGGCGCAATTGTAAATCTTTGGGACATCTTTTGGATTTTGTGGATAGCTTAAAGCTATAGTAGTCGCCTTTGGCGTCTTGTGTATTCTTTTGGGAGCGTTCCCCTCTTGAGCGCCTTTTATGAAATCTTACTTATCAAAAAAATAAGTCCACTAAAATTTTTTATGTAGTTTACTACTAGTTTGATATAATTTCTATAGCAAAGAATGGTCTAGGACAATTCAACCAAATAGGTTGGATTATCCAACTTGTTCATTATTTGACTTGAACATTTCTTTTATGCATACATTTTAAAATAATGACAATTAATTCTAAAATATTGTTCTAAACCTTATACTAAAAGTATCACAAATTTTCTTTAAAGCAATCCTCAGTTTCTGACAATTGGTATACACACCAAAAATTTTATGGATTTTTTTTAATAAATATATATTATATGTAACTTCCTCAACTACAAGTAACATTTAGCAATTTACATAAATTTTAAAGTATTCTACTAGGTATGTTCGCTCATCTTCACCGCAGGGAGGAGTAAAAGGAACCAACTTTAGTTCAGATGAGTTATCCTCGTCCGATTGGCATCCTGACTCCATTAATCATTCTTCATCACATTTGCAAGACATTGAGCTCTCTGGCCTTAGTGGCCTATGTTGAATAACTTATGTTCTTTTAAAACCAAATATAGATTGGATTCCATTTTTAAGATATATATATATAATTATATATACACACTGAAACAATGTAATACTATTTATTGTTCTTTTTCCTTCCTTGAATATCTTTTACTGAAATTTTCATTTATGGATAAAAAATTAGTAGTTTATTATAATGTACCACTGAAAGCAATTCTTCCCATGAACTTGAGTTCCTAAAAGCTCAGATCCAAAGGTGCAAACCTCTGGTTAATTAAGCTCGTTCAAGATGACTATTGCAGAAATTGATTCATCTGTGACATCTACCCATCACATGATTCCAAGCAACAGATTCGCTGAACAACTCTTGGGTAAACTAAACTTTTTGATTACCTTCCTCGCGTATGTATAAGACCGAATCCATTCAATTTCTAACCCTGTAAAATGATAATCAAATCACAATATACTCAACTCGATTTATGGCTCTCTCTTTGAGTAACTTCAAGGCCTACAAAAATCTTCTTTCTTAGCTTTTGAGGGAGTTCAATTACCTATCTCCAATCTTTCTGACAATATTTTTCTGTTGAAAGTTTGGAGATACCATTGATTGATCATTTGATTTGATTTTTGGGGATATTAAATTTTCAGGAATATTAATTCCTAAATGAATTTTCTGGTACAAGCAGCAATTTGATCATAAGTTAATTTTCACGAAAAGAATTGGAACTTATCGAGCTAAGGAATGGCAGTAAAAAATAATCATCCATGACTTTAAATGGTGAAGAAATATTTTCCATGACAAATCTCGAATGGGAAGCTCTAACAAACTTTCATTCCAGTCTGAAGGGTTCTTAGAGGTGAAATTTCCCAATGATGTACAGATCAATGCATAGCCATGGAGATTTGCTGGTCAATCTTTGTTTTCTATTGAGTACTAAACAATGTAACTTTTTCCCTATTTGTTTTCTATTGAGTACTAAAACCATTATAAGTGATTTTGAGTACCCATGATTTTAATTATGAAATTGTTATAAAGCATTTCATTTGACAGAACAAGACTCATGCAAATTGTAACCACAACTCAACAGTAAACCACAAATAAGAATATAGTAATATATGAAACAACAACAACAACCAAAAAAAAAAATTTGTTTCTTAAATGTATTTTTTGTAGATACATTACTACCTTAAACATTTTTTTTATCAAGAGATAAGTAAAGCATGGAATGCAAGTTTCACAACACAGAATGAAATGAAAAGTAAAATATAAGTATGACAGCTTACATTATATATAGAAGAAAATGAAAAAGGGAAGCAATAGTCAAGCAGGAGGACCAAAATTTTTTTTTTTTTTCAATGAATAGCAGGAGGACAATTTATTTAATATACAAACATATCTTTCTAATTCCTCCAGTAACAAAACATTCACTGAACAAGAGTGGCATTGTTGAGACACAATGGGGACCTATTTGACAAGAATTCCAGGTCTATATTGACAAAGTGGATTAGAACATACAATTGCATAAAACCCTCTCCACTTTCAATTTTGGCTCAATTCCTCCTCCAAAAAAATTTGACCTAAATCCCCCGGAATATCCACTTTGTTATTTTCTCCAGTAGCCTACATTTCTAGAGTTGTTCATAGTATCTACTCAAATTAAGCAAACATTCATCCTCTCATGCCATTACAAACTTCAAAAATAAACACAGCTTTTTTACTGTAATATTGAACTTTGCTGTCCCTTTTATAAGCTCCAGAGCTAAATGACGGTAATCCATTTTCCTAAAAGGCATTTCAGCTCAGCTTCACAATCAATCAATTAAAACAAATTCTATAGACATGAACAATCAATCCACATACATAAACATGTGCATATCTGCAAGTGTAAATTTGTACTCAATTAACCAAGTTTACACAGTAAGGTTTCATTGATTAGAAAATTGAGTGCATGAGGAACAAAAACAGTACATCATATCTTCACCATCTAATTCAAACCTAAGAAGAATGAATGTGCTATGACCTAGAACAACCAATTGGCTTAAGAAGAGTTGTTCAACTCCCCTCTCCCCCAGATCTAATTGAATTTAGTTTACTCTTGACGTATCAGAGTATTGAGTAACAGTCTTTGTGCCACAATTGGTATTTGAGCAAATCGATTGTGAATTTTCAACTATCAAAAACAAAACAAAAAACAAAATTGTGTTGAAACCAATTGAAGAAAACGCAGAGCTAATTTGGGTGCAGAACCAGAATATATATATATATGATATTTTTTTCCCTCTCATAATTTTGAGGTTAAAGTATAATCAGCTTGACAAAATTGGAATCATCAAGAAACTCAGATCATAAACATTTTGCACAACATACTAACACGAAACCAATGTAACATGAATGATAATATCAAAGACAAATAATTCAACATAATAACATGCCTTATCAATTTGCTCTCTTCCTCTTCTTTGACTTCTTTGTATGAAATTGTGTTTCCTTTTTAGGCAACTTTGCAGACGGTTTCCGCTTCTTGCTCTTCAGTTTTTGTGGCACTGGCTCTGCTTTGACATCTTCCCCTGCTGAGGAGGTGTCACTCGCAGAACCATCTTCATCTGAACTAAGGATCAAGTCCTCCACAACATCTTCATCGAAAGCTGTATCTTTCGGTAGTTCCTTTGGTATCTTCTTCTTTTTCTTCTCTTTCTTGTCTCTAGGATGTTTGGTCCTGCAATGATATAACTTGGTTCAGACAAACAACAACAAATGCAACAGAAGATAAGCACAACAGGTGTGTGGGTGTGGGTGTGGGTGTGGGTGTATGAGAGAGCAATTTAGTTATCATACTTGGAATCACTTCCTGGTAACCAAGAGGAACTAAAGACAGCAGCACCTTCCTCATCCCTAGTATCATCATCATCGTTTTCTGGTATCTTATTCCCAAAGACAGACGAGTGTTCACCCACAATTACACTGGAAATTGCATGTCCATAGCAAAGTGGCAACTTTAACAAATCAATCCAAATATAATAAATTAAAATCTCAATAAATATATATCAGATAGCATGTTTATGAACCTGGATTCCCTCAATGAGATATTTCTTTGTTGTGCTCTTTGACGCAAAGTTGCAGCATATTGCGACAGAGGGCTAGTCCCTGACTTCTTCTCATCCTATAGCGGAATAGAGTAAGGTTAATCAGCTTCTACAAGACAAAGAATCAAGCAAAATGTAAGAATAAAGTTAGCAACGAGAGATGCATGAATAATAAAAGATTATATCAAGCATATCTTTTGGTTTGACACATCAACTTGATCCACATCACGTGTACACTTCAAAACGTGTAAAGCACCCATCTGTAGACCAGCACTATTCAGATACGATTCCGGATGTGTTGGACACACATACAATTAATTGGACACTTCCTTGCACGTCTGTCGCACAAAAGCAACAGCTCAAAAGATCTTGACTGATTAGGAATTTCCCAAACATACTCCATCAGTATGTTCTCATTCAACATGGATAATAAGCAAAGTTTCCATTAAGGAAAGTCAAGTCACATAGACACTATAATTCACGCCATGTCCTAATGTTAAACATTTCCAGAATAACTTAATCTGACCCTAGATAGACATGTACAAACACTCAACAGCTTTACCTCGGTCCACGTAGCAAAAACCCATTGACTGATTAGGAATTTTCCCAAACATACTCCATCAATATGTTATAATTCAACATGGATAATAAGCAAAGTTTCCATTAAGGAAAGTCATGTCACATAGACACTATAATTCACGCCATGTCCTAGCGTTAAACATTTGCAGAATAAATTAATCTGACCCTAGACAGACATGTATAAGCACTAAACGGTTTTACCTCGGTCCACATAGCATAAAACCCATGTAATTGCATTTTGCACCACCCACAGATTATGCACTACCATAGTAACCTCAGCTTTCAAGCTCATCTAAAAGTTCACTAGCTCGAAATGATTGTCGTAAGCAACTAAATCATAACTATAAGTACAAAACAGCAGAAACAATCCCAATTTTGTTTCAGCACACTGTTTAGTCAACCATAAGTCTGTAAATTGGTCGACTCCAAGGGTTCCAGTCCATTTTAACCCACAGATTGGACTAACTGTTTTAATTTAAAACAACAAAATAAAAATACAATATCAGTTAATAACAAAGTCAATCACAGCGAGGAAGGAGACATGGAAAAAAATATTTAAAAAATAAATAATAAAAAATAAAAAAAGAAGAAGGAGAGGAAACATGGATGTGCCGACCTCAAGAAAAGATGTAGCTGCAGGATCATTTGGTAGAAATGAAACTGACAAGCGCTTTTTATTTGTAAACTCAGAATTGGCCTCAATCTGTGACATGGAACAGCAGACAGATTAGCGATACACCATGAGCCTAATTACATGTGAAAAAATGATTGATTTAACTACAGGATAGCTAAATAAAGAGAAAAGCCATGTCTTTTTTTTTTTTTTTTTTTACACATCTCTTGTTCAACCAAGCTTTAGCAAGTGATTGTCAGTCTTAAAGAAATACCTGACGAATTAGCTGCCTCATTTCTCGACGGAACCTCTCAATTTTTGTCGATTTGCAGAAATTACGAAGCCGCACAAGAGGAATAAAAGACAACTCGAAGAAAGCAACAGAATAGCTCCATTGAGCTAAATGTTCTGTGAGCTCCTCAACCACAGAAAAAACACATGGCTCTTGAAACTCGCGTGTCTTTAAGGTTGCTTTCCTTACCTGCCATATGCAAAATTTACCAAATTCACATAACTTGCAAAAATAATAAACAAAAAGACAACCACTGGTAGTACCTTCAGTACGGTACGCAAATCAACAGCTTTGTCAAGACGTCCAGTAAGGGGTCTATTCAGTTCTTTCATCTCCAGCATGTCTAAAAGGAGCATAGAAACAGGTATAAATGTACTGGTGGAAGCAGCAATTCGATTGAGCATCCTAGCACAACGCAATCTGAGGGGCAAGTATTCAGCAGTAGGTACTAAACGAGCTACCCCAGAAATTATTTGAGTCAATGGGTAAGCAAGAGGTATAAAATCAGCTTCTGAACTATATGAACAGATGGCTCCAGTCCAAAGCTCAAGGCAATTCATATACTTCCATTCATAAACCTTTCTGAATGCTTCCTATAGAACAGTCAGGTCAGTATGACAAATAAGTGAAAAAAACTGGGAATCAGGTCTTTAAGAAGCAAGGAACAAATGTTAATTTAAATCAGGTAAACAATATTTTGTATGTCTTTGGGCTACTTATCCAGCTTTTCTTACATGGCATTGAAAACTAAAGCTGCATGGTAGCAGCTTTGAAACTAAAGCCTACATCAGTAGACTAATTAGTGCAAGATAAAAATTTCAACAACACTGAAAATAGAGACAAATACCTAAAAACAATTCGAGGGAGGAGAAGAGTTGAGACTCTCTCTCACTAAATTTTCTCTCTAAAATTGTTGCAAGTAACCATGTTATTCAATTTTCCTTGCAAATTCCTCTCTGATTCCTTCTTGTTTCTCTTCATGATTACCAATTTGTACTTGAATTTAGTTAGTTTCGTGATCTGTTCTAATTGTTCCGCTAATTTGGGTGTACATTTACGATTGGTTTAGAATTTGGATTGATAAATCGCCGGCGTTTGCTTTCCCGGGAAATTTCTGTGTCTGATTCTAAAACCTCTCTCCCCTTGGAGATATGGAGTCGAACGATACTGAAGTAGAGGAAGTTTCTGTGCTTGGTGATGTTGGGGATGAGCCCTGCACTGAATCTGTTCGAATGTTTGTTTGTCCTGAAGAGGATGATAGCAAGATCAAAGAGGATACACATATGGAGGACATTGAAGGTGAATGTGTGGAGAAATCGAAACTAAATCAGGAGTACAACGAGATGGTTGCTCTGAGGAATGATCTGTGTGATTCAACAGGAGAATATGGAATTGTGATCTTTTGCTTCAAGGCAATTGGAAGAAAATTATGGTAATTGTGGAGGCCACGGAGGTGGTTGATTTGGTGCTCGTGGTGGGTGGAATGATGGTAGAGGTCGCGGATATTATGGTAGTGGTGGTTTAAAAAAACCATGGTGGTGTTTTCAATGGTCATGGTGGTGGTTTTAATGGCAGAAGTTGTACTCAGAGTGATTCTGGTACTGTTGGTGGAAGTTTTAAAGGAGAAGATGCAGCAACCATGAATTCCATTCTGCAATGTGGGGTGGTGTGTGCAGTTGAACCATATTGGGGCTGTGCATGAGATCCAGGATTGGTGAGCGCTTGGGGGAAATGATGAGGTGACAACAGGCAAAACAGTATACGATCCAACGGTGGAAGATGATATTTGTCTAAATAAATCAGTTACGTTTAAAGGTGAAATGCTCTCTGGTTGGTACTTTGTGGATAGGAAGCTGCCGTATTACACTGTTAATACCATTGCTCAGAAAATTGGGGCAAACAGGGCTTGATTAAGGTGTTGGAAACAGATAAAGGTTTCTTCTTCTTCAAATTTACAGATGAACAGTGTAGGGATGCTATTTTTGAGCAAGGGCCGTGGCACTTCTTGGATAGGCACGTTGTGCTTAAGAAATGGCATGAAGGTATGGAATTGCATAAAGATAAGCTAGAGAAAATACCGATTTGGGTAAAGTTGTGTAATATTCCATTGGAATACTGGACTCCCCTTGGTTTGTGCTATATTGCTACTGCGATTGGGAAACCACTTCACACTGATTTGTTGAGCCTCTATAAGAAAAGGGTGACTTATGCTCGAGTGTGTGTAGAAATGGGTACTGATAAGGAGCTCATTTCTGAATTTAAGCTTTCTATTAAGAATGGCATGATGATCCCAATCTTTGCAGAATGTCAATGGAAGCCTTCGGGTGTGTGATTTGTGTCACAGTTTTGGGCATACTCATAGTAATTGTAATCTGAAGAATCGCAGAGGGGATGTTGTTGGGCTAGAACACAGTACTAATGTAACTCAGAATCGTCAATCAGTGGGTAATCAGACTCAGGAATGGAACATGGTTACTAAGAAGAGTGATGCTAGAATTGCTCTGAATTCAAGTGCTGAAAAAGCTGTTACCAGAACGGATAAAGGTAAAGAAATTAATGAAGAGGAATCAGTAAAAATAAAGGTGGATAATGTTGAGGATGAGGTTAGTAGCCAGTTGAATGTGGCATCGACATCCAGAATTTTACCTCAGAAATCTGATAAAACTCTTGAGTAAGGAAGTCCCAAGCATTTCTAAGTACTTGAAGATCCTGTTGATGATTCTTTTGAAGTGATGAATGATGAAACGTCGGAAACAGAGCATGTTCAGGTGTCAAACTCATCTTTTCTGACTAGTACATCTTTAATTGGTGATAACCAAACTGTTGTCTTTGAATATTGGAAAGCAAAAAAATATTAGTGATGAAGAAAGGATGAAGAATATATCATATGGATTTAGGGAGCCCAAACGAGGGATGTGACAACTTCTCCTAAACAGAATTGATTTTGCTTTCATGTTCTTCTTTCCTTGTGAAAAATGGCTGCTGGAATGTGAGGGATTTAAGTCACCACAAAAAACAGATTGAGGTTAGGAATCTCATTAGAAAACTTAATTTGCCTTTGTGTTGTTTTGTGGAAACCAAGGTCAGAGTCTATAATGTAGCTAACGTCTAAATGCCATTGCTACTGGTAGTCTGGTAGGGATATGGTTCAAAATTATGACTGCTCTAATTTGGGTAGAATTTGGGTATGCTGGGATGCTCAGAAGGGCGTTGAATTGGTCAGACCAAGTCATCAATTGCACTATCTACTTTAAACAGCTGGGAACTAGTTGTTTAGGTAGTTTTGTGTGCACTTCTAGTTTTGGAAGTCTGTCTGGCGTTCTAAGGCTCCTCTCAAGGTGGCTTTCTTTGTGTGGACTTCGGTTCTGGGAAGGATCTTAACCCAGGATAATTTGAGAAGAAGAAGCCAGGTGGTGGTCAATTATTGTTATATGTGTCTTTGTGATGAGGAATCAGTGGATCACCTTCTCATTCATTGCTCTTTGGCTAGAGAGTGTTGGGATTTGATGCTTCGCTTATTTGGTTTTTCTTGGGTTATGCTAGGATCCACTAGAGGGTTGATTGAGGCGTGAAGAGGTTGCCCTGTGGGGGCTCATTGTCAGGATGTGTGGAGGGCTACGCCGCTTTGTGTGTGGTGGTGTATTTGGCTTGACAGAAATAGGAGATATTTTGAAGGAAAGGCGATGTCAATTTCGGTGCTTTTATTCTCGATTCTTTCCACTCTTTTTTGTTGGGTTTCAAGGAGAGATCATAGTTCGATGGAGGAGATTGTTGACTTTTTGGCCTCCTTGAAGGCTTGAGGCCTTTGTGGTCTTTTGTATTTTTCTTGGGATCCACTCCCCTTTAGAGCGTTTTTTAATAAAATTTTTATTTATCAAAAAAAATAAAAAAATTTGTACAGATGGAAACAAACTAAGAGCACAATTTTATTTTAAGTTTTTCCATGACTAAAAATTAGCGCATTAAAGTTCTATCAATAGTATGGTGTCAGAGAGAGTCATCGTAGTAATTGCCTATGTATACATACAATACAAAAACCAACTATGTACTTGTAATAGTTGTTAAAGGCTCAAGGCGCACTAAGGCGCCAAAGGGCTCAAGGCGCACTAAGGCGCCAAAGGCCTTCTGGAGCCTAAGCGCAAGGCGCAAGCTTGATTGAAGTAAGGCGCTTGTATATAGTAATACATATTAGAACATATATTATTATATATATTCATAATCAAGCAATAATTGCATTTAATGTAAGTAGTGAACTATAAATTTATGAATTTTGTCAAATATTTCTAAAGGTTAAACAATACGATATATGATATAGAACCTTTTAATTTAGTAATCATTAAGTAAAAAAGAAATTGATATGAATAAATGATTAAAAGACATCTTCAATGATACCATAGGCTTCTTGATGGATCTGTCGGCAAGTTGTAAAACCACCGACGTCGGTTTCAAGTCTCCTAAGCCTAATTTGACATACACCGAGTATGGAAGAAGGTTAACACTAACTCCTAGGTCTAGAAGGGCTCGATTAATGACATGGTCACCAATGATGCAAGAAGTAGTAGGTGAACCGGGGTCCTTAAACTTTGGAAGAGTGTTATATTGCAAAATTAAGCTTACTTGCTCGGTTAAGACCACTTTCCTAGGTGCTTGGCTTTTGTTCTTCCGTTTTTGGGTGCATAAGTCTTTTAAGAACTTGGCATAAGCCGGAATTTGCTTAATTGCATCCAAAAGTGGAAGATTGACTTTCACTTGCCTAAACACATCCATAATTTCATTTGCTTTGGCCTTTTGCTTGTCATTTGAAATGGATCCTTTTAAGGCATCCGAAAATGGAGCTTTTGGTTCAAAAATCTTTTCAAAATTTTTCTTTGGAGTCTCTTCAACACAAGAAGTTTTGAAATCATGATGCAAATCTTTCTTTTCAAAATCACTTATCAACACATTCTCATTTGAAAAATCATGCATATGCAATGAAGGAGGAATAGGATGTGAAACGGGACAGGTGTCAACTTTGGGTTGAACCAGTTCACTCTCTTCATTGGACATACCCACTTGGTTGTCCACAATTGTGATACCCCCGAATTTCCGGATGCGGGTTGGCCAGGCCGACGCCCGATAACCCGAGGATATCAAATCAATTAGCAATAATCGAACACAGAATACAATTAAAACTAATGAGATAAATAAAATTTGCTGAAATGAAAACTAAAATGATAATCCAATAATTGAAACCTCAGAATAATTAATTCCATTGATAAATAAACTATTTTATTACAACTGATCCTCCACGAATACAAATCGTTCTCCAAATTATACAACTCGGGAATCCATCTAGTGGACCCCTAAAATACCCCACTGAACTCAGATGACTGGAATAAAACCAAAGCCTAAAACAGGAAACAAAGTCCTACAGCATCGGTGGAGTGAATGACTGTATCTGCTCAGCACGATCTAGCTCTACCGCTGGAACTAACGAACACCTGTAAAAATAAGAGTGGGTCAGGCCCACATGCAAATTCTTCTCTAACTACAATCCACATAGTGACCCGATACGCAGATACACCCTAGATATCTCAACAATAGCTATCTAGTC